CAGCTTTATTTAAATTTCTATTTTAACTTTATAACCATTTTCAAATTTTAATACAATAAAAGCCTCTCTTTTTTTCTCTTGGATGTTTCTCCTTTCTCCTCACCTCATGGCCCATGTAATACATGGAGCCCAGTGAAGGATTTTTATTCCAAAAATACAATACTCAAAGTTATGCATTTACCAATGAGCAAGTCCCACTGAACACACTAGGGCTTGTTTCTAAATATGAATGACTGCTTTGTAGGAGATCTTGGATGAAGCTGTAAGAGGGAGTGTGTGACTCACCCATGGTCACCCAGTGAGTTTTTCCAGGGTCAAGTGGGGATCTGAACTCTGATCTCTAAAATAGTACTCCAATGCTCAAAGCATTACACCACTCTGGCTGTCAAATGGACCCTAATGGTATTCCCCGTTGACAAGGTTGTCAAGTTGTGTCTGACTGTAGGGGGCACTGCTCATCTCCATTACTAGCCAAAGGGCCAGCGTTGGCAGAGACTATTCTGTGATTGTGTGGCCAGCATGATTTCACAGAATGCTGTTTACCTTCTCACACAAGTTGTACCTATTTATCTACTTGCTTTTGCATGCTTTCGAACTGCTAGGTTGGCAGAAGCTGGGAATAGTGACAGGAGCTCACCTTATCATGCAGCACCCGGGCCTCAAACTGCCAACCTGTTGATCTTGCAATCAATAGACTCAGTGTCTTACCCACCTGAGCCACTGCATCCTTATTATTTACTGTTTGTTATTTTATAATATTTGTTTCCAAATTTCTGCTAAAAGGAAACACCAAAGACAGTTACAAATTACTATACACATTAACTTACGAATTACAATAGAAGCTCTAGGCAAATTGCCTTGAAAATACAGAATATTGTTTTGACTTTTCCTATAGAATATGACTCACTTTAAGGGAACCAAGTGTCAGGATAAAATAGACAAAAATATAGTAACATTGAAAGTATAAGAAATAGTTTCACCAATGTACTATTAGACTCTTTAAAACTTACTCCTTTAGTTTCAGTACCTGCAGTGGTTCACATTCCTCTTCTATCAGATTTTACTCAGATTAGAACAAAGTGTGCCACCCAGTCATCATCTACAGGGGACTGCAGGCTGGATCTGAGAACCACAACTATAAACCAAAGTAAGTCCAATGAAAACATAAATTGCATTCAGATGCTGCTCAAATTATTCTGCAGATGGTTGGATGACCTGAAGTGGACAAGATGGAAAAGTCCTATTGCACGAATGCTGACATTGGACTTTTCCCTGTTGTGAAAATGAACACTGTATTCTATTTTGTTTAAATAATCCATCATTAAAGCTAATTACAGCTCCAGATTTGGACATAAAGAGTAATGGTTAATTGAAAATGGAACAATAATGAAGAGAGCCCCACAACCTCACAGAATCAGAGAATTAGAAAGGAATACAAGATCTAGTCTAACCCTCTGCCAATGCAGGAAGTTATAGCCACAGCATCTCAGAGTAGCTATTCAACCTCTACTTTAAAACCTTCAATCTAATCAAAGCACACACATATTCTTTCATCACGGAATCTCTCCACCTTTTTACTATTAACCATGGTGTAAAATAACATCTTCACAGTGATTAAAACTAAAACAAGAGTTGAGATTACTATGTAAATCACAGTAAAAACTCACTATGGTTAGCATTAACCTAGGAAGAGGTCTCACACATACTACAATTAATTCTGTAGAAGCAAGGGGTGGGAAGGGAATTTTTGTAACAGTAAGGAAGAATTACACAGAAGAATTATATAAAAGGGTTGACAACCGGAAGGACACATGGAATGAAGATTAGCCCCAAATTCTAAAATGTGCGGAGGAAGCTGCATTTAAGAGACATGGCAAAAAAACAACAGGAACAGATGATATTCCAATCAAACTGGTGCAATCCACACTGGCAGAGTCAACTCTAGTGCTAACCACCATATGCCAACAGATATGAGAAACAAAACAATGGCCAACAGACTGGAAAATATCAATATACATCCTCATCCACAAAAAGGATACACAAGAGACTGCAGCAAGTACAGAACTATAGCACTAATGTCCCATGCGAGCAAAATTATGCTCAAAATTCTGCAACATAGACTCCAACTATACGTGGAGAGAGAAATCACAGAGGTCCAAGCAGGATTCAGGAAAGGAAGAGCCATTAGGGATCATGTCGCAAGCATACGATGGCTAATGGAGCGCACCAAGGAATTTTAAAATATCAGCATGTGCTTCACAGACTATAGCAAAGCCTTTGACTACATAGATCATGAAAGGCGATGGAATGCCTTTAAAGACATGGGAGTGCCAACACATCTGATAGTCCTGATGAAGAATCTGTACCAAGGACAAGAGGCTATTGTCAGAACAGAATATGGGGAAACAGTATGGTTCCCAAGTGGCAAAGGGGTCAGAAAAGGCTGCATCTTATCACCCTACTTGTTCAAATTATATGCAGAACATATTGCAAGAAAAGCAAGATTGGACACAGAAAAAGGAGGAGTGAAAATAGGGGGAAGGAATATCAACCATGTGAGATACGCTGATGACACCATAATACTTGGAGAAAACCTTATAGACCTGGAACAATTACTAAGAAAGATAAAGGAAGAAAGTGCAAAGGCAGGCTTAATGTTGAACATAAAGAAAACAAAAATAATGACCACCAAGAATCTTCACAAGTTTAACCTAGACAATGAAGAAATTGAAATAGTAAAAGAATTCACATATCTGGGGTTAAGATTAAAAGATTAAAAAGGTTTACTGTTAAACATAAAGAAAACAAAAATAATGACCACTGAGGACCTTCACAAGTTCAACCTAGACAATGAAGAAACAGAAATATTTCCATACCTGGGATCAAACACTGACAGGAATGGGGACTGCAGTCAGATAATCAGAAGAAGACTAAGAATGGGGAGAGTAGCTATGAAAGAACTAGAAAAGATTCTAAAATGCAAAGATATACAATTCAGCACAAAAGTTAGAATCATACAAACTATTGTATTCCCTATTACCATGTATGGAGGTGAGAGCTGAACAGTTAAGAAAGAAGATAGAAAGAAAATCAATTCGTTTGAGATGTGGTGCTGGAGAAGAGTGCTGAGGATTCCATGGACAGCCAAGAAGACAAAAAATTGGGTCCTAGAGCAGATCAAGCCAGAAATCTCCTTGGAAGCCAAGATGACAAAATTTAGGCTACCGTACTTTGGACACATCATGAGAAGACATGCATCATTGAAAAAAACAATAATGCTAGGAAAGGTGGAAGGAAACAGAAAGAGAGTAACATGCTAGATCAGGGGTAAGCAACCTTTTTGAGCCAGGGGCCGGGTTGCTGTCCCTCAGACAATTGGGGAGCCGAAGCACCATAAATAAATAAATAAATAAATAAATAAATAAATAATTTTAAAAAATAAAATATAAAATATATATATGCATGCACACTCTCTCAGCCCCAGAAAAGCCATGGCAAAACCCCTGTAGAGATTTTGCCAAGAAAACCCCAAAAACAAGTAATAACAACAATAATCAATATCATCATGGCAGGCGGTGGTGGCGGCAGCGGCAGGACCAGCCTGGGGCCGGTCCAAAGGCCTCGGGGGGGGCATCCGGCCCCCGGGCCTTAGGTTGCCTACCCCTGTGCTACATGGATGGACTCTTATTAAAGAGACCACAAATATAAGTTTGCAGGAGCAGGGCAGAGCAGTAGAAGACAGAGGATCCTAGAGATGTCTCACCCATAGAGTCGCCATGGGTTGAGATCAATGCAAAGGCAGTTAACAACAAGGAAGAAGGAGTATTTGATTTCAAAAGGCATTCCCACTTGCATAATAATGGTTAAGAGCTCAAGATATATCACATCTGCACTGAACAATTCTGATGTTAAACATGTTTTGATTATACTAATAACATGTAAAGTATTTCCAGATGTGAAGCTGAAGTTGTTTTTTCCATTTCCTGTATCTGTAATATGTTAATGTATACTGGAAAGTGTATTTCGAAGAATAATAATCTTCTGCTTTTTATATTGCATTAACATGTTCACACATGTACAGGAAGAGCGTCAGAGATGGTCAAAAGAGAGCTTTGATGATGGGCAAAAATGTTTTTGGGCCTATGTCAAGAAACTTCAAATGGATTTCTAGGAAATTACCACAGCCAACTTCAGAACTATGACAAATTTCAATGTAATATTTTCCTCCCGGGGTGATTTGGAAATGTCCCCTGTAGAAGTACACAGATGAAAATGACAGGGTTGAACCAGAACTTGGAAAAATTACTTTCTGGACTACAATTCCCAGAATCCCACAGCTAGAATAGACACTGGGAGTTACAGTAAAAGAAAAGTGTAACTTTTATAGTCTGAACTATCCCTTCTAGATTTACTGGAGAACTGGTAGGAATCTAGTATCTTTTCCACAATTTTTTCCTGAAAAATATCCATGAATAAGGATATGTGTAGGTTATAGAATATGCATACTTATAATGCTCCAAAGAAAGCTATTATGACCACCAATTTACATAACCAGTTTTAAACTCTATTTAATCGATATAATTTAATTTATACAATTTATACAGGATATTTTTCATAAAAATATATAAATTGTTTGTATATATAAAATAGATTCTTAAACTCCAATAAACACATTTTATTTTTTAAAATGATAGGAGCTTTCTGGTATGAGACACCCAGGTTTGGTCACATACTTAGTACAGATAGTACAGAAAAATGCATATTAGTACGTGAAACCGCCTTACGCTCAGGAAGATCACTGACTCACCTAAAGCAAGACTGTCTACTCCAATGGAAATGAGGGCTTCAAGTGTGTGTTGTGTGCCTTCAAGTTATTTCTGACTTATGATGACTCTAAGGTCAACCTATCGTGGGGGTTTTCTTGGTAAAGTTTGTTCAAAGGAGGTTTGCCATTGCCTTCTCCTGAGGCTGAGAAAGTGTGAGTCACCCAGTGGGTTTCATGGCCGAGTGGGAATCGAACCCTGGATTCCAGAGTCATACTCTAATGCTCAAACCACTATGCCACACTAGCTGATATACTTGTGCAATATGCACTGGTTTATGCACTTTCTCAGCCTTTTTAATGTTTAAATCCCACACCCTCAAAAGCAACCCAAATGCACACAGGAAAAAATCCATAGAATAATTATACCACCAGAGAAGCAGAGATATGATTCTCCTGCTAATCCCCCTGTCACAAAAACACATACCCTGCAGAAAAGAGCCCTTGTTGCAAGTTTGCTCTGTGGCGTGCAAATTGTGGGGGTCTCAGAGAAGGATTAAAACACACAAAGAACTGTGCTATTTCTAGCAAAGGCCTACTGAGTCTAGCATTATGTTCCCACAGTAGCCAATAAAATGTCTAAGGGACAACCATACACAGGGACAGTGTACTGTAGAAGCATCCTCTAACATAAGTTACCTAGTATCAGATATTCAGAGACATAATTCGTCTTGTTCTCTATGAATTTACCGAATCCCCTTTTAAGTTATCTATACTGGTGGCCATCACTACAAGTACATTTTGTACACATTTGTGTGTTCCTACTGTAATATATAGTGAAAAGACTATACAATTGCTATCATAACAACAATTAATCTAGGAATTAATAAGGCATTTTGTTTTCCAATTCAAATGAAATTACTAGGTAACAATACTGAACATAAAATGTACTTCTGCACAATATGCTAGGCGTTTGGAAGGTATATGTCACAGACACTAATATTCCATGAAAGAAGAAGGAAAACAACAATCTAGTTGTTAACAGTAGTTATGTGACAACTGTTTTAGCCACATATCAAATATGTAATTATTTGCGTCAGTCATTAGTATCACTGTGGAATGTTTCCCCTTTATTTATTTTCTAACGACACAAAAAAAGCACAGATGTATTTTAGTAATTCTCTCAAGACCTCCCCTGCTGTTTCTTTCACCTCTCAATTCTTTGGAACCTGTGAACACCAAATTCCATTTATCTGTGTGATAGGGTAGGCATTTCAAGTACAAAGTTTAAAGTAACAGTTTGTTCTTCGATTTAGCAAGCACATGACAAACTAGTAATGGCTTACAAGTGCAAACTGCAGGATGGGATCAGGAGAGGACAGAGGGGAGGGATCATAGTCTCCAAAGTAAAGAAAAACAGTGGTTTTATAGATTTACTTGCATTTCTTTGTTAAAGGAAAACAAGGAGATGTTTCAAGGAAATGACTCCTTAGCTGACATGGAATGCTGACTAAGCATTGCTTATTTGGATCATGATAGAAGTTAAGGGTCTAAAGGGCTATCTGAGGACAACGGCAACATAAACTATTAGTGTCAGAGTATCAAAAAACTTACAAACCCCCAACAGTGTATTTTTAGATGCAGAAGGCTCAGGGGCAATACTTTTATACAGCATTTGCTTTATCAAATATTAGCATGGATGAGAGCCAGCACAGCACATCAGAAGCACTTAGCGATTTTTTTAGTTTGCTTGTAAGATAAAAATAGATACTGGTAGTTATATCTGATATGAAAGGCAATGGTTTGTGTTGCTTCTATACTATATCCTCAAAATACCTGCCTTTAAGTGGCTACTTGAGAAGTTATTTTTCCAGCCAGAGATGCAAACATCGGAACAATATGCTGTATATAATGATGTATAAGTCTAAAAGTTTGACCCAAAAAACGTGAGCTGACTTATCCATGGGTCAATGTTAGTACTGTATTTTGATTCTTATAAAAAAGGAATCATCCCCTGGTGAAAGGCAAGAATGTAACCTGTTGTGGAAACACTGAGCCCCCCCCCCCCCATCCATCCATCCATCCATCCAGACTTTGGTGTGAGCACAAACAGTTATTCCTGCTCGAGTTTTGTAAATTATTTGGCATTGTTTTCCTTTGTTTCATCCTATAGATTCTTTGTTAAATGCCCCAAGTTTTATCCTCGATTCATCCATGGGTCATATCACAATCCATAATTATGGCCCCAAAACCTGCCCTCGACTTATATATAGATGAGGTTGACTTATAGTCAAGTACATATGGTAATTCCGTTCTATGTTCAATCTATGACTTCAGCTATTTCTCCCCTAACTTTTTATGTATAGGGAACAGTAACTTGAGCAATATGGCAATTACACAAAGAACCAGTCTATAATGCAGCATTAAAAACAGTTGACACAGAGTGATAAAACTTGCTATTAGAAATTCAGGTTATGATTCTATATTTTGAGTTTCAACCAATTAGCTCCATCTCCATAATGAATTTTGAAGGGAAAAGAAGGAAGCAGAATCACTGTGAACATTTTAAAAATATTTAACACATAGGAAAAGACAGTAATGGATGCAGTAAGACTGCCCAACCAAAAAGGAGGATTAAAAGAAACTCAGACCTGTGCATAATTTGAGAGTGGATAGGAGCAAATAACTATGAAATGAAAGAACAGCTTACAAGATAGGCAGTTCATTGTCATTTACACCTTTGACACTGGGGCAATGAGCATAAGAACAGGAATATTGGGAGGGGCAGATGTCTGAAATTTTTTTAGGACACCACAACCAGATGCAAGTCTTTCTTCATCATTATATGGACTGAACATAACCCCCCCCCCAGATGTTTAGAATACTCTGTTAGCATTTTTTTTCTAACTGGATGTATCTTATGCAAATGAAGATAGAAAAATATAACACCAGTATAAACATTAGTCATACAACTCTACATACCAACTTCAGATACTAGTCCAATCCACCAGCTGTTTGAGGAGGTCTGGAAAAAAATGCAATGGACATTTCTTGCAATAATCCAAAAACCAAAAAGTTATGCTTGCAGGCAGAAAAAAGAATAAGATACAAAAGTAGAAAGTTAAAATAAAAGAGATACTCAACTGTATTATATTCTAAGTTCAAATTACACTGAGAATCACTCTTCCATTTTAAATAACTCAAGAAGGCTGCACCATAATAACTAAGGATTTATTTTATTTTATTTTATTTTTTTTGCTACATCTCTAGCTTTCTTGCTTTTCTTTTGGCCTCACTGTCTCTTAATTCACTTTTCATTCCATGCTCCATAAGAAGCTCAACCCAAGCTCTTCCTTCTCCTCCCAGGCCTGCTAAACATTTTTTTGTCCGTATTTTATCTCTCGCTAATCCTGTGTTTTATTTCTCCTCTTCTTCTTTCTTCAGAACCTTTTTCTTTTGCCCGGTTTCTTTCCCCTTCACCCCTTTATCTTTAGTCCTCATTGCCTAGTTTGACAAAATAGCACCCAAGAGTATCATTCCCCTTGCAGCTCTCACAATTAAGAAGTCTCAGGCCAGAATCTTGTTTGTGTACTCAACCAGGATAACTATGTCAGAGGTGACAGACATAAGAAGACAGTGGAGAAATAGACTGCTTGGAATTGACTAATTTTGTCTACCTTCATTTGTCACCACTGTATATCCATGGCAAAAAGTGTAAGCTCAAATGACGTCAACCAGGCATAGTGCCTTCCCGCCTATGAATGCATAAAAACTAAAGGTTCAGGCATGACCCAACTGATCTGCATTTATTCAGAGATCCTTACAGTCTACTCTTATGGTCACATAAGCTTCCACAAATGCAGACCACAGTTTAGTTCAAGAAGAACTCCCCTTCAAATATTTCTGAGCATCAAGACTCAGGAAAATCAACAGGAGAGTTCAAAGCCACTTTATTTAATATTCATTTCTTGAACTCAGGTTATCATAGTTACGCATACAAGCACTCCAATTGGAGATATATGGTATATTTCATATGGAGTACCTTTCTGCACAACAGAATATATTTTCAATATATACCCATATAGTTTATTTGTTTACCACAACATTGAAACATTTGGCTCTTCAGCACATTCTTGTTTGTCTCTTGAGGAGACAGATGCAACCATCTTGGGTTCAGGCATTTCCTACTCTCTCTCATATTAGAAAAATCCTTATAGATTCCCTCATTGTATTTGGTTGTAGCTTCTGCTGTAGGAGCTTCACCTATGGCATCTCTATCTGGTTCCTATACATCTATAGCTGTTCAGTTCTGATTCTTTGGCCATACTGAACACCTCCCTTTCTTGGTGTCTTTCCTGAAGCTGGTGCAACACCCAGAATTACTTGCAGCATGCAAAACCTATTAGATTACTAAAATATATAGGATGCTTATTCAGTTGTTCAAAGCACTAAGTAGAATGAAGGTGTAAAAACCATACCAATAGTGCACCTCAGAGACAGATTAACAATGCTATTAGCTGATTCCAATTAGCTCAATAAGTTGGGATAACTGGCAGTCACTCCATCATGTGCCTCTGATTCTAAGTAGAGTAAGATATGAGGCATAGGAATTCTCTCATCTACAGTGCTACTTTTGCTTAGTCTTTAGGCCATTTTTCTCCCATTATACTGGCATTATAAGAGCTATTGCAGCATGGTTCCCTCCTGTGCTCTCAGGAAAAGTGGCAAAGCGCCCAGCTTAGGTAAGAGAATCTCATGCTATGGCTTCTTGTGCCAGCTGGTAAAAAATGACAGCCCCAGCTCCATCCACCTGGCTTTCGGCTACTCACATCTTCCTACTAGCATAAGAAAGGGGCATAGTGCAGTAGGCAGAAATCTCACAGGGGAGCTATGTACATTTAAAGGACAAAATTAAGAAAATACAGAAATAGGTGACAAGTATTTTCTGCTTCTGAGCCCAGAGACTGGGGATGTAAATCTTTGTCCTCATACACAAGGACAAATATTTCCATAGTGTTCTTTTAACTCTGAGACAAAACAAAAAACAAAAATCTCTAAATCCAAAAGTGTTTCAAAAAATACATAGGTTTTTTTGTGGAGAAAAAACCTCAGAATTCCTAAAAATACTCATTCTGGGATATGTGCTAAGAGGTAAAAACTGCACAGAATTCTTGCTTCTGACTTATTCTTCTGTACCAGGTTTCCTGAGTGTCAGGGAATCCATTTTTTTGGCAGGAAACAGATAATATCAGATATTCTTTCCATCCTTACCAGAGATACAATTAAATACATTTCTACCATGAACTAAA